AAATTGATTTTCCTTCACTTAATATCATACTTCTTATCAATGAATATTTGCTTTATCTTTCTATTGGTTAGCCCATCTCATTATTCTTATTAACTCCTTATTCAAAATCAAAACAATTTAAAAAAGAATTCTTCCCAAGAAGTCTTGTGGTATATGTTTACGACGCGTGATTCAATTAAATAAACTGAACGGGGAAATGATTCCCCGTTCAGTTTATTTAATTGAAGGATTTACCAAAATCTAAAAAAAAAAAAATTACATAAACTTAGATCAATCAAGTAATGATGTTTCTTTGAATATGCATATGTAATGATTTTCTTTATACATCTGGTAATGATTCGGTCTAAAAAATGAATCCATTTAGAAAGGACGAAAAGAATTTAATTGAAAGGGATTCATAAAAAAATGAGCTGGGTAGGGGAGGGGAGGGGGTCGTCGAACTAGGTATATATAATTGAATGACTATTATATTAAGCCAACCCTTGTAGAAGTTTCGACGCTTGATTCTCAGAATACGGTTGAATCTAAGATGAATAGTTGGTTTACGTTATAGAATAAAGACATGTATATGTGATATTAGACTAGTATCTCTTAGATTTCTATTTCATTTGACCTACTACTGAAATTTGTAATTTCGATCGGGATTCCAATACAATAGAAGTCCTTCCGTCTCGTTGTGACTGTGAATTGAATGAACAAACGGATGAAATCCAGAAAAATTCCAAATAACAGTTCGAACTAAGAAATGGAAGAACAAAAGTTGTATAGGAGTCACAAGAACTCTGTGGATGGAAACTCAAGATATCGAAGTAGTTCTGACGATTCAATAAATAATATTATTACTTGTACTTCAATTACTTCTCAATTGGATGGATGAATCCTAGCGATGGAATAATGAAGTTATAATTCATTGATTGATTGTATCATTAACGATTTCTTTTTTTGTTACGAGGAACTTATCATGAATCCACTCATTTCTGCCGCTTCCGTTATTGCTGCTGGGTTGGCCGTAGGACTTGCTTCTATTGGACCTGGAGTTGGTCAAGGGACTGCTGCGGGTCAAGCTGTAGAGGGTATCGCGAGACAGCCTGAGGCGGAGGGAAAAATACGAGGCACTCTATTGCTTAGTCTAGCTTTTATGGAAGCTTTAACAATTTATGGATTGGTTGTGGCATTAGCACTTTTATTTGCGAATCCTTTTGTTTAATCTTATAAATAAGATAAGACCCTGTCGTTTGCTTTTTCAAATTCTATCAAGATTTCCTCCCTACGATTACTTTTTCGTTGAGAAAATAACCTACGGGAAGGGCCGATGAAGAATTAGCATACTGACTCGCTTTCATCCTTTCAGTTCGTAGACCAAGGGAACTTTTTTAAGTGAGTCTTAGTATCCCCATAATCCAAAAAGGGGGCGGTTCAGAATTGAGAACTAACTCAAAAATTTTTTGACTCGATTTCAGAAAAAGAAAAAAAAAAGAGAGTAAATAAAAAGCGAGGTGAAGTGATACAAAAATAACTCTGTTCGGTTTTTTAGTCGATCTATAAGAGGAGAGCATATGAAAAACGTAACCGATTCTTTCCTTTCTTTGGGCCCCTGGCCGTCTGCTGGGAGTTTCGGGTTTAATACCGATATTTTTGCAACAAATCCAATAAATCTAAGTGTAGTGCTTGGTGTATTGATCTTTTTTGGAAAGGGAGTATGTGCGAGTTGTTTATTTCAAGAATAGGCTGGACCAACCAGCTGTATCCTTTAGTTTTCCTTAGAACTAGGAGAGAGGGGTGCATGATCTCGCGAATTACTTCTGAATCAATTAAGAAATTCTCTGTAAGAACCATAGCATTTCGTGATTTATTGGTAAATCTACTTCGATTCTCTCTCAACCAATAATGCGGGACTATTAACATGGTTAAAGCAAATCGTTTGAAGTCAAGACACTGCATGGTACTCTTTCTATCACTATGTTAATTATAGAGATGTTTTCAAAATAAATATCGATATAGGATACTCATATTGATAAAATAATTTGAACTATTTATTGTAAAAACGGGCATTTTCACCTTTTTATCCAATGCTTAATTGACGACCTGTGTCTTAGTCAGAATATTTTTTGAAAAAAAAAAAGAAACAACTTTGCTGACAATTACATATTTTTTTTTTGATTTTGTCAGAAGAGTCCTCCGAATTTTTTTCGGCTTGCATAAGTTTCCATATCTTTTTGGAATATGAACAAAGAAGAGAGGATAAGCTCATTATATTCATAAAAAACACAAAAAAACGTATGAGAATTTCTCTTTTAAGTAATTGAGCGTGAGAGCCAAATGAATCGAAAGATTCATGTTTGGTTCGGGAAGGGATTATGGAAGTTTTGAAATGAATGGAAAAATAATCTACTTTCATTAAGTGATTTATTAGATAATCGAAAACAGAGGATCTTAAATACTATTCGAAATTCAGAAGAATTGCGCGGTGGGGCCATTGAACAACTCGAAAAAGCCCGGGCTCGCTTACGGAAAATAGAAACGGAAGCCGAGCAGTTTCGAGTGAATGGATACTCTGAGATAGAACGAGAAAAATTGAATTTGATTCAGTCAACTTATAAGACTTTAGAACAATTAGAAAATTATAAAAATGAAACTATTCGGTTTGAACAGCAAAGGGCACTTAATCAAGTCCGACAACGGGTTTTCCAACAAGCCTTACAAAGAGCTCTGGGAACTCTGAATAGTTGTTTGAACAACGAGTTACATTTACGTACCATTAGTGCCAATATTGGCATGTTGGGAACAATGAAAGAAATAACTGATTAATTAGTCTTTCTACCGGAGGTCTTATTTTTTTTTGCAAAAAGAATGAAGAAATAATCATGGTAACCATTCAAGCCGACGAAATTAGTAATCTTATCCGTGAACGTATTGAACAATATAATAGAGAAGTCAATATTGTAAATACCGGTACCGTACTTCAAGTAGGCGATGGCATTGCTCGTATTTACGGTCTTGATGAAGTAATGGCAGGGGAATTGGTAGAATTTGAAGAGGGTACAATCGGCATTGCTCTCAATTTGGAATCAAAAAATGTTGGTGTTGTATTAATGGGCGATGGGTTGATGATACAAGAAGGAAGTTCTGTAAAAGCAACGGCAAGAATTGCTCAGATACCGGTGGGTGAAGCCTATTTGGGTCGTGTTATAAATGCCCTGGCTAACCCTATTGATGGTAGGGGCGAAATTTCAGCTTCTGGATTTCGATTAATTGAATCCCCTGCTCCGGGGATTATTTCGCGTCGTTCCGTATATGAGCCTCTTCAAACCGGGCTTATTGCTATCGATTCGATGATCCCTATAGGACGTGGTCAGCGCGAATTAATTATTGGCGACAGACAAACCGGTAAAACAGCAGTAGCCACGGATACGATTCTCAATCAACAAGGTCAAAATGTAATATGTGTTTATGTAGCTATTGGGCAAAAAGCATCTTCTGTGGCTCAGGTAGTTAATACCTTACAGGAAAGGGGGGCGATGGAATACACTATTGTGGTAGCCGAAACGGCGGATTCCCCTGCTACATTACAATACCTCGCTCCTTATACAGGAGCAGCTCTGGCTGAATATTTTATGTATCGTGAAAGACACACTTTAATCATTTATGATGATCTCTCCAAACAAGCCCAAGCTTATCGCCAAATGTCTCTTCTATTACGCAGACCGCCCGGTCGCGAAGCTTATCCAGGAGATGTTTTTTATTTGCACTCACGCCTTTTGGAAAGAGCTGCTAAATCAAGTTCTAAGTTAGGTGAGGGGAGTATGACCGCCTTACCTATAGTTGAAACGCAATCGGGAGATGTTTCGGCTTATATTCCTACTAATGTAATTTCCATTACTGATGGACAAATATTCTTATCCGCCGATCTATTCAATGCTGGAATCAGACCTGCTATTAATGTGGGTATCTCTGTTTCCCGAGTGGGGTCTGCAGCTCAAATTAAAGCCATGAAACAGGTAGCTGGTAAATTAAAATTGGAACTGGCGCAATTCGCAGAATTAGAAGCCTTTGCACAATTTGCTTCTGATCTCGATAAAGCTAGTCAAAATCAATTGGCAAGAGGTCAACGATTACGTGAATTGCTTAAACAATCCCAATCCGCTCCTCTCACGGTGGCAGAGCAGATAATAACTATTTTTACTGGAATAAATGGTTATCTTGATTCATTAGAACTTGGACAGGTAAAGAAATTTATTGTTGAGTTACGTACTTACTTAAAAACTAATAAACCTCGGTTCGAAGAAATCATATCTTCTACTAAGATATTTACCGAGGAAGCAGAAGCCCTTTTGAAAGAAGCTATTCGGGACCAAATGGATCGTTTTCTACTTCAGCAACAAGTATAAAGAAATTTTGATCAAATTTCACTTTAATATCCAATCAAGCGTTTCGGATTTCAATATTCAAAAGGTCTTTCGAGGTATCGAAATAAAAAAAAGATAGAAAGAATTGCGTCCAATAGGATTTGAACCTATACCAAAGGTTTAGAAGACCTCTACCCTATCCATTAGGCAATGGACGCTTTTCATTCTGATTTTTTCGTATTTTTGCTTTCCCACTTTTTGTTTGAAACAAAAAAAGAATCGGATTGGGATTGTGGGATTAGATTATGGGATTATATGTGAGATATTTTTTTTTTAATTCTATATTTACCAATTTATATATTGACCAATATTCTAATTCGAAAGATCTCAAAATCGATATTTCGAATTCTAAATTCGAATCAAATGAAATTATTTCAATTTCAAATTTTTTGAATTGAAATTCAAAACAAATAAAATGAAAAAAAAAAATATCTATAATATTAAATTAAATGGAAGATTTCAATTCTATCTAATTAGAAGAAATTCGACATAGCTATTTTGAATTGGAATTTTTTATTCTATTTTAATAGAATATATTTTCATTTTAGATTTATATGAATTCTGAATATAAATATGAATTCTGAAATTCCATTTCAATATTATCTTCAATTGTATCTTTGGCATTTTCTTATTTATTTATTATCAGTTTCAGTTAATGTGAATATAAATAGTTAAATCTAAATAGTTAATAGAAATAGAAACTATAACTATATATAAAATAGAATAGATATAAAAGATAGCGGGTAGCGGGAATCGAACCCGCATCGTTAGCTTGGAAGGCTAGGGGTTATAGTCGACGTCGATTCAGTATTTTGAGCATCTCTAATTCAAAACCGAGCATGAAACTTTGGTTTCATTCGGCTCCTTTATGGAAATGAGTAAATTACGAGATCTATGATCTGAACAAAATTCTCAAAAAATTCTACCCATAACATCTACGTCAGCTTTTGGTCTGAATACAGACAAAACGAAATAGCTTTCTAGATGATCCCTCTAGAATAAGGGTGATTATAACAACAATCTTTCTAGTTACTCCGTTCTTTATTTCATATTAAATTAAATATAATATTTATTTCATCTTCTTTACTTTAAATGTTATTTATTTATTTTAAATAAAATAAATAAATTTTAATTTAATATTCAATTCTATTGAATATTCTTAAATTGGTGAAATATAAATATTATTACTTATTAGATTAATTCTTTAATATTCTTAGGATCCTGAGGAAAAGTATTTTTTTCCACCGAGCTAAAACAATATGTTGATGCCTCTAGTAAACCAAAGGCATCGTTTCATAGCTATTTTGCTTCAATCTCTTTCCTACAAAAAAAAAAATTGAAGATTTAGTTACGGTTAGAAATTTGAAAAGAACTTTCTAGCTTCAGCCATGGATCCCTTACTCATACTTATTCAATTGGAAGTTTTGATCCAATTCTAATAATTCTGTTTCGTTATTTCATAATCCAATTTTTCAATGTCTAAGCGACTTTTGGATACAAATCACGAGAATGCGTATTTTCTCCGGAATTGGTCATTGAGAGGAAAAGGATTCAATCCTTTTTAGAAATAAAGTTTTTGATCGGCATACGAACCAAGCCGAAGGATCCCTTAACTGTATAAAGGGCTATTAAAACGAATCACACTTTTACCACTAAACTATACCCGCTACAATCCGATTATTGTATACAAATATACCTTTTGTCGAACAGGGGAATTTTGATACTCAAAATAGGGGTCATCACAAAATCGTTTTTCGTGGGGAGAGTCAAATTCAATCTTAATATATTTGAATATTAAGAACATTCAATAGAATATAATTCTAATAGAATAGAATAATAAATAATATAAGAATATAAGAACTAATAAAATAACAAGCATTTTTTTATTTCTAACTCTTTATTTATAATTCGTTGGAACAAAAAAAGGCCCGGCTGACTACTGACCAGGCCATGAGAATAAGAAGAGCCTTTCGAACAAAACCAACGCAAAGAAAAGAGGACCTCTTTAGCCTTCTTTCTTTTTAATATTTTGGTTCTTTCAGGCTCTTCCTTATACCCCCCTTTTTTTTAATAAACAAAATTGATAATTTTTACAATTACAATATAATATATTTAATATTATATTAAAAAAAATAGAATTCTCATTAGAATAAAGAAGAAGAAAGATTCCTTAGTTTATGTGTAATGTAGCATAGGAATTATCAAGTTGAATTTGGAGAGATGGCTGAGTGGACTAAAGCGGCGGATTGCTAATCCGTTGTACGGGTTATTCGTACCGAGGGTTCGAATCCCTCTCTTTCCATTTTCGCGGATGATTTTATTTTTTTTTTTCAAATTTCGCAATCCCTTGGTTCTTATTCTTAGTTTCGTAGTTAAATGTGTGTACTAGATAAAATCACAAGAAAGTTGAAAAATAAAAACTCTTTTTAGTTTAGTCTTATTCTTCACGTCCAGGATTACGCCCTGGATCATTAGATAGGAACCCAAAGATGAAGAGAGAAACAAAAAATATCACTACTGTGTACACAAAGAGTTTGAGAGTAAGCATTACAAATCTCCAAGATTTTTTCTTTTTTTTTTATAAAAAAGAGAATAGATTATCCATTTTTCTACCACATATTCAAGTTTGGCACCAAGAAATGAAATTCTTTCTAAAAAATAATTTTCAAAATTTCATTTGAAATAATAGTTCTTCATTTAAAAAATATCTTTCCTAATTAGATATTGTAAGGACCCTAGTAGGGTCTTTCACTGGAAAGGATCAAAACAAAAAAAGGGAAATGAAGTAAGTCGGGTTTTTTACAACTATCCAATACTGTTAATGAATGTTTGAATCGAGATTTCAAACTGTAAATCTTATAAGATCTTACTAAATTTTTTTTATAATTAGAATTTTTATTGGTAAAATCATGAATTTTCTAAGATATTATTAAGGATCTCATCGAAAACTTACAGCAGCCTGCCAAACAAAAGCTAAGAGAAAAAAGAGCACAGGTATGACTGGCATAAAATCTACGATTGGATTCAAAAAAGCATAGGCTTCGGGCAATTTGCCGAAGAAAAAACTACTCGAATAAAGGGCAGAATTAAGACAGATCAAACTAAAGATCTTAAGCATAACAGACATTTTTTGTTCTTGGAGAGAATTGCCTTTTGATTGAGTTATTGATATAAGGAAAGGGGGAGTAAGTACGGTAGGCAAAAACTACTTCTTCCTCTTTTTGCTCTTTTTGTTTGAACCCCCATAATCAAAAATTCTCAAGGAGAATCGCAAAAATCATACTTTCATACAATATCTTAATTGAATTCTATGTAATGATCAATATGCAATGATCAATCAATTCAATTGAATTCAATATCTACACATATTAAACTACGCATCTCAAAAGCCTAGTAACAATCGAATCGATTCTATAGATATTTGAAATCGAGTTGACAAACAACCAATACTTACTTTAATTTTTATAAGTGTCGAGGACAAATCGAAATGGGGCGTCGCCAAGTGGTAAGGCAACGGGTTTTGGTCCCGCCATTCGGAGGTTCGAATCCTTCCGTCCCAGAGCATTTTATTTTTATTTTCTTATTGAATTCTATGAGACTCAAATTTTGGTTTTAACTTTCATTGAATCTTTCAGTTCTGTTTCAATTTGAATGTTAGATGGAGTGTGATTCTTGTTTTGAATTTAGATCTTCGACAAATCTTTTTTTTTAGTGAACAAAGGAGGAATCGAGATATGAAAGAATCTCTATTCCCCATCCCATTTTTCTATCCCATAAAAGAGGCGGCCTCGATTAGTAATAGTAATTCATTTGTTTTTTTTTGTTTTTTGTGGGTCTCTTGGATTCTAACCAACTAACCTAAGGAGGTTGGTCCTAATTCAATTCGCTCAATAGGATGTCTTTGTCCAAATCTCATTAACAAACAAACAAGTAACCGATTTGTTTTCTTTGAATATTTTTTTGAAGTATTTCGGGTTTGGCTCTAATGAAAAATGAGAAATCTATATAGCGCTGTGGTGATTTATCAATTTTATTTACTTTAGAGCAAGATTAGATTGTCGAAAGGGTAATGACTCCGGAGTTAAACAATATGAAATGAAACAATTTCAATTTCTGAAATTCAATATTTTTCAAATAAATATTGAAATTTGAATATAGATTATTCATATTATGTTTCCGAAGGGATCTTGCTAAGACTTCTTTAGAAAAATCTTTACCCCAGCTATCTAATCTATAATACTAATTTATCTAGAATCTAGTATCTTTATATATAGTATATAGAAATATAAATAGAGAAAACTTATAGATCATGATGTCTACACATCAACCGAACCAATAATAGAACCTATGACTATTCATGATTCCATAATTGAATCAAGTCCATACCGGTTCCAAATTAAAATTATAGGAATGTTATGGTAAAACTTCGTTTGAAACGATGTGGTAGAAAGCAACGTGCGACTTGAAGGCCACGATCCGTTGTGGATTGTTACATCCACCATTTGATATAGGAATGAAGATGCTCTTGGCTCGACATCATTTGTTCTGTTCCACGAGAACCCTTGTTGGGTTTTCATGGAAATAGTTCATGATGAAGCTCGAGTAGTTAGTTTTTTTTGGGGGCAGGGATCTAGGGTTAATGCCAATCAATAAATTGGAACAACTTCGTAAACATATCTTCGATATAGAAAGAATCCAATTCGAGGAAGTTTCCAAAAAGTTATTAGACTTGATCAAACTTTTTCGATCCGAAGTGTATCATGCGGGAATCCACCGTCTGTAGGATTCTTTGGTAGAAAGAAATAAAAAAAAGGTATGTTGCTGCCATTTTGAAAGGAAAGTCTTAATAAACACCGAAGTAATGTCTAAACCCAATGATTCAAAACAAACTATCAAAGGATCCCAGAACAAGCAAACGCCGTTTTAATTGTCTCAATCACTGGATCAGACGGAAGAATCCAAATTCATTTGATTTTAAACGAGACAAGCATAGGGGGAGTAAAGACCGCTCAAGAAATGAAATTTTCTAAAACTTTTTATTTGAGAATTATCCAATTTGAGTTATGAGAGTAGGAATGATTTATTTTTATGAAGGAAGAAGCAAAAAATTAAATCAAAGTCTAATTGATTTTTTGTTCTAATTTAGAAATTTCATACATAGGCAAAACCTCGAATCCTTCATTTTTCTCGAGCCGTACGAGGAGAAAACTTCCTATACGTTTCTAGGGGGGGTGTTGCTCGTCTACATCTATCCCAATGAGCCGTCTATCGAATCGTTGCAATTGATGTTCGATCCCGAAGAGAAGGAAAAGATCTTCGGAAATTGGGTTTTTATGATCCGATAAGGAATCAAACTTATTTAAATGTTCCGGCTATTCTATATTTCCTCGAAAAAGGTGCTCAACCTACAGGAACTGTTCAGGATATTTTAAAGAGGTCGGGGGTGGAACTTCGTCCTAATCAAGCGAAATTCAATTAAGGAAAAAATTTGGGAAATACAAAAATAGAAGATCAAAGTTAGACTTATAACCACCCTTTTTGTATTTCCTGCTCTATTTGTATATCTTTTTTAGATTTATCATTGCTTCTGTTGA